AACTTTGCTTAAAAAGCGAGGTGGATGGTAGAGCGGATTTTAAAGTGTGCTTGTGATTAGGGTCGCGTTTGTGTGACGGTGCGTATGGTTCTCGCACAGGTCAGACCACAGCACCGCTCAGCCAGCAAGAAAAACGTAACACGGCACCGCTGCATACGTGCTGCGATGTCATGCTGTGACGAGACCCGCTAGGAAGCAGCAGGCTGCACGAGTTCGTCAGGGCAGCCCCCCAGACCAGCTCGCAGTGCAATTATTAATGATGGTGAAAGCTGCTGCTCTTATTTTGGACCAAATTGTTATCAAGCAGCCCTGATCTGAGGAGTTGCTGGATACTCGTGGTTCAGGGCAAGATTGGTGCCCAGGTTTGCTCTGTGTAAACCTGGAGGCGCTAAACCTCTGAAAGCCCCGTAGATGCAGGTGGAGCAAAAACAGCAGAAAGCACAGTGCAAATCAAAACGCTGCGTTCCCTCTCAGCCCGCTGAAAACAAACAGAAATTATGTAAACGAGCTCTTTTCCTTACTCTGTGGTGACGGATCTCCTTGCTCTCAGAACCCACAAAGTGCCGTACAAGTAGCTAAAAAAAAAAAAAAGTAACACCTTCAGCCTCGCAAAGTCGTGTAGTTCGTCTCCCCTGTGCTCAGTCACAAGATAGAAGCTGTCTCTCCAGACAGCTTTCTTCCTTAAAGGAAAGCTTTTCCATAGTCAGGCGTTCTGTTCAGCAGTCACTCACTGGAGCTCTTAACAGCAGTAATGCAGATCAAGTGAGCGGAAAAGGATGCAGTTGATGTCAGGGAAGGAATCTGCGACAGTCAAACCTTCGAGTCCGTGGCAGGACCTCCTGGCGTGAGCGAAGCCGGGAAAATCAACGTGCCGCGGCTGGCCGAGGGGATGTCACGCAGCAGGAGGAGCGATATTGCAGCCAGAGACCTCCCAGCACCGTGTGCCTGTGCTGTCGGAGTGAGGTCTGCATTCCCTGCCGGTGCTACCTGCGTCTCTCGTTCCAGGTGCCATGGCCATTGAGTCCTGTGGCTTCCTTTGGGCATGTCTGTACCAACCTGAGCTGGTGAAATGGAGACCTCCTTAGCTTTTATCCTCGCTCCTTGCTCGCTGACTCGACTCTGCGTTTACTTGACCGTGCTTTTTTCCTTGCTCATAGCGCCCCAGTCTCATGCCTGGCCCCATGCACGGGACGCCTGCGGTCAGTTTTTCAAGGGAGAGGTGGAAACATCAGGTTCAACCCACTCAGGTTCATCCGGCCCTGCCAGAGCGACCATCGGATGGCCAACAGTGTTGGCTGGCATTCGCCAACAGCAGCCAGATGGATGTCTACAGGTAGGAGAACCAGAAGGAGCCAGGGAAGGTGTGTGTTGGGATTTGGGTGTTTGGTGGCTATCGGACCTCAGTTTCCTGAGGAGCGAAGAAAGTGGTGGGGACGCTTGTGAAACTTGGGACTGAGGCCACAGCACGTGTGCCGCTGGGAAGGCAAGCCCCAGGCCAGTTCTGCCCTGCAGGCAGCCTTTCCCAGCTAGAAAGTGGAGATGGAGGTGGTGTTGTCAGACTCGATGCCGCTGCCCTTCCTCGTTACCTCCAGGATTTCCTGCAGGGTCTCTTGGCTTATGCAGCCAAGCTCCTGCAGGATTCGGAAGAAGTCGTTACGGAACTTGACTCCGATGAAGGCGTAGAGGATGGGATTGAGGCAGCAGTGCGTGAAGCCAATGGCCTCTGTCACCATGATGGCCGTGTCCAGCTGGTCCTCCAGGAGGCAGTTCTTGGTGAAGGCTTCTAGCTTGGTAAGCGTGTTCAGGAAGATGACGATGTGGTACGGGCTCCAGCAGAGCAAGAAGACACCTGTGACCAGGATGGCCACACGGACAGCTTTTTGCCTCTGCAGGCGCTGGGACTGGCACAGAGCCCGGACGATGGCCGTGTAGCAGTAACACATGACCAGCAGGGGTACAAAGAAGCCCACGGTGTGGTAAAGGAAGCGGGTCGCCAGCCAGACATTGTTGCCATCGATCCCAACCTCTGGAAAATAGCAAATGCTGCGGTTGCTGTCGTCTGTCCAGACTTCCATGAAGATGAGATCGGGTAAGGTCAAAATCAGCGAGCAGAGCCAGACAGCCGTGCAGGTGAGGTGGATGGAGCGAGCTCTGCGTTTGCGGTACGTGTGGATTGCATAGACGATGGCCAGGTAGCGGTCCACTGCAATGCACCCCAGCAGCATGCTACTGCAGTAGAAATTGATCTTGTGGACAGCACTGAGGATCTTGCAAAGGAACTTCCCAAATACCCACCCAGCCAAGCTCTCCACCACGCTGAAGGGGAAGGTGAGCAACAGTGCCAGGTTGGCCAGGGTGAGGTGGAAGAGGAAATTTTCCGTGGTAGTGCGAGACCGCTTGAACCTCTCTAAAATGACCAGGACCAGGGCATTGCCCACAGTCCCCAACGCGAACATCAGCAGATAGATGAGGGGCATGAAGACCTTTCTGAAGGGGTCCCTCTGGTCGCCTACCATGGATGAGGCTGGGTTGAAGCAAAAGTAGCCCTCCAAAGATGGGGTGGTGTTCTCAGCTTCGTAGTAACCGCTCAGCTCCACCTGGCTCTGGGGAACAGAGAGTCTGGTTACCGGAAGGGAGTTTCTGAACACGGGAACCCAGTCCCTCAGCTGCACCTGGCAGACCTGGAGCAGAGCATCCCCACGTCCCACAGCCCACCCGCATTAGGAAGAGGTGCCGCCTGTCTGCAGCGCGGTGACCTGGGAGGTCTCTCTGGTGCCAGGTCCCGGGAGGTGCAGCAGCATGTGGAGATGGTTCTCCCAATCTCCGATAGCTACTGAGGGCTGCTCAGTCTGTAATCTTTTGCTAGCATATTTGGGGACGTTCCAGTGTCCAGACAGATGACTGTTTTCATCTTCTGCCTCTTGCTGACTTACCTGCTGCTGGCTTTTGCTTTCTCACTTGGCACGGAACCCTCCTCTACCAACTTCCGTGATCTTTCCACCTGTTTCTGACACCGAGTGTCCCTGTCCTCTCTGCTGTCAGGTACAAAGGTGGTGGGGTTCACCACAGAGCATGTCTGTAGCTCAAGTTATGTGTGCTGATCCTGTCCCCCTCTGCCTCTCCTCCTCGGAGACCTCAGAGCTGCCTGGGGCAGAGCAAGGCGAGCTGGGGACAGCAGCAGCTGAGCTTGGGATCGCTTTCCATGCGCCCAGAGAAAGGTGCGAGGCAGCCGTTCAAACACGGCTGGAGGAACACCTCTGAGGCGCTGCGGTGCCACAGCTATGGGGATGGATGCCGGAGAGAGAAACCTGTTCTGTTGGTAAACCCTGCGGTTCTGCATTAATTGCAGTCAGAGCAGGAAAGGGAATCTGAAAACACCGCTCAGACCCCGGGCTGATACCCGGTAAGGAAAGTGCGACAGAGCCGCCGCAGGTGGGAGTCACGCTTGGCCTGCTGTAGCTCCTTGCCGATGAGCGGCCCATGTTCGGGCTGAGACCGTGTGCAGGTCACGAGCGCTGGAAAGCTGCAGTCGCGCTCAGGGCGAGCCCCCCGCCGCCAGACGGTGGGCACGCTCCAGCTGGCCTCAGGCACCTCGCAGGAGACGGGTGCTCACAAAAGCAAAGGGCTTGGATGCAGGCGGAGAAAGAGAGGGGTATAGGAGGCTTGCGGCAAGCCGAGAAATTAATAACAACTGGGAAGAGCTCGGCAGCAGTTAGCCTGAGTGCCCCCACCCACACCCTCTCTGGAGACCAGCGCTGAGACTTCAGTGTCAACCACAGCGGAAGTCTCTGCTCGCTGCTTTCATACCTTTCACTGCCAGCTGTAGCTGTTTGCACCTGCTGCTCCTTCCCTCCTCAGCCAAAGTTCCCATCTAAAAATACCAGCCCTGCCTTAAACAGTTTCAGAGCCGATTTTTGGGGTTTTCGCTCCCCGCATGTGCTGCTAAGCCAAATGACCGTGACCAGCCTCGAGTCCCACGTTGTGCCTGGCTAGAGAAGGGTGATTTACGTTTCTTCTCTCTCAGGCAGCTTTCGCTGGGGGACGCACTGGGCGCCTCCACACGCGACTGTCTGGGGTAAAGAGGTGACACCACAGTGGCAGCACTCATCTCAAACCGCTGTGCTGCTGAAACCATCAGCGTGGCTCCAAGGGGAGCCCGGGCATGTTGATCGAGAAGAAGTCTCCAGAGTGTTACCGAACGCACGGAGCAGGCAGCTGGCTCAGGTGGTCCTGAGCAGTGGACGGTAGGAGGGCGAGCGAGCCCTTGGGGAAAGCGTAGAAGCAGCTTGGCCAGCTCTTGCCTTGTACCTTTGGCTACTGCCAGAACAAGCGTTGAGGCAGACAGACTTTGGTCTGACCCAGGTTACTCTTGGTCTTGCCATGAGCCTGTTCCCCACCGGCTCTGCACTCAGCGGTGCTGGCGCTGTGCTGCAATGCTGCCATGCTTCCTCCTGAACGGGTGAGAGCTGGTCCTCTTGGGGGGGCCGAGAGTCTTCCTCCCTGCCCAAAACCTTGAATGCATGTCTTTTCCCCTAATGTAACGGTGGGGCTGCAAGCCTTTGGTGAGAAGCATTCTTATTCCCAGAGAACAATTATTTTTCTGGTTTAGGGTATGACTGTGGAGACTGGAGATTGCTGCTAAAGACAAGATCCTTTAGAAATCCCTCCCAGTTTGTTTTCTCTCTGGCTTGAAAATATTTCCTGCCTAGTCTGTACCCAGACCCTGCGTCAGGAGTTACCAATGCGCACAGAAACCTGTGATGTGTTGGCCAGGGCCAGATCCTTGAATCCTCTCAAAAAAAAAAACCAAAACCAAAACCAATTTGGTACAGTAACCAAATCAGACTGCTCGGGACGCGCAGGTGACTGTGCTGAAAACCCCGAGGAGAACATGTATTGGAACAGGTAACTTCACTGGGGAGAGGCTGGAGGGTTCCAGCTTTAAAGGGGAAAAGGAAATTATGGGAAATGGCTGTGTTTGCTGGCTGGAGTGTCGGAGCGACCCCCCCCCCCGCCTCGGACAACGGCGGATGGCCAGCCTGCGCGGTGTTCAACGGCTTCGGCTGCTGAGCGGCTTCGAGCATCACCTTGCATTCGGAGCCGGAGGTGCGGAGGCCGAGCGCCACTATCAGACACCATCTGATTGCTGATAAGACGGCAGGTAGGGCTCTTACTGTAAGCCACCCGCCGCGGCGGGGGAAGCGTGCCCTCAGCTGCGTCTCAGGCGTCCTCTCATGTGCATCTCCGAGCAGAGCAGCGAGTGTGGGTGGGAGCAGGCAGAGATGAGACAAATAAAAGAGGATGAAGAGTCAGAGTCCAGGCTGAGACAGGAAGGGCAGAGTCCAGAGCTGCAGAAGATGCACTGAATGCGACAAGCCAAGGCTTTTGGGGACTCTGCTGCGATTCCCGTTTCTAGAACTGGAAGCGAGTGGCTGCCTGATCTGGGATGGGAGAAGGCAACAGCGTGCACGCAGGGAGACCTTCGTACAGGTCTCCTGCAATACAATCACAGCCAGATTTAGGGGTGGGCGACAGAGGTGCCTTTTTCTGTACCTGAGCTGTCAAGTGCGTGCCTGGGAAACCCGTTCCTGTGTGCTCTTTGTTCAGAGATCCCTTTTCCCCTCTAACCCACATCTCAGAGTTATTCCGGTCTCGGCATGTCAGCTGCTTTTCTCAGTTCCCCACAACTGCCAGCAATCAAACTCTTGGCTGCAGAAGAGAAGCAGCTTGTGCACTATTAGGGATTTTCCACATGAGTCGTTCCCTTCTAGCCCACGCCAGGGCCGGGAGAAGCACGTTTCATTCCCAAAGCCTTAAAGCTGAAATTGCCCCTATCAGTGCAAGTTACTGACAGAGCTTCTGCTTATCTCCTCTCCGGGCGCCGAACTAGGGATACCCGCAAATAAGAGCTAAGCCTGTGGAAATGCCACGTTACGGTAGCTCAGGTGCCTTTACGGCTCTTGAGTCACGTTGGTCCCATTACAATGAAAACTGCCCCGCAGCACCTCAGGGGACCTGGTGGAGATCCCAGAGGTCTTTCTGCAACTGTGTTTTTGTTTCCGTAGTCTGCAGCTGAGGAAGGTTAACCGGGCAAAGCTTTCTAACTATGGATAAATGGGATTATCATTTTGGGCGTGTTACTTTTCCACAAGGTTGCAGAGATGAGTGGTCCCGTATGGTATGGAAGTTTAGGTGAGGCCCTCACTGCGCTCACTGGGCGATACTGGGATAAATCCCCTTTTGGTGCAAATTTTCTCACGCTTGCTCAGCCAGTCAAGTGATCCTCTCTGGTGAGCGCACAGGGTGAGCTTTGTGTCCTGCCTTTGACAGGACATCCTTGAGGCCTTTTTTTTGCAAATCTCTGCAGTTAGGTTTCTGCTACAAGCACCAAGAATAAATAAAGCAACATATGGCACCACCAAAGCAAACGCGGCATTGCTCGAGTGAGAGCTGCGGCCCGGGAGTCAAACCTGGGAAGCTCCTAGGAGGCAGAGGTGGGAAGCGTGTGACACAAACTCCCGACCACGGGAAGTATGGGAAAAAGTACAACTTTCTGTTCTTGCTGTGGTACCTGGCTGCCAGAGCTCGGTCCCGAAGCTAGCTGAGTTTCCTGCCCCCTTACACGGGATCTCCTCTGTAACTTAAAATAATTCACAGAAGGGGTAAAATTGCCAAGCTAAGGTTCTGGAACGAACTGCGTACCAGGAACAAATCCCAGTGCGGCTTAATCCTCCTGCGTTAAAAACGATGCAGTTTCGCCACGTGCAGCCGCTTGCTTATAGTGCGTGACACGCTGCAGGCAGGCGGACAGCACGCTTCAACTTTGCTGTTTTTCTGGTGGTGGGACAGAATTCCAATGGAGAGTTCAGCGGGAGGAACAAACCGGCACAGACGTGGAAAAGGTCTGAGTTTGATTTTAACCTCTCAGCAAGCATTAGCGCTGCCACTAAACTTCCGCAGAGATCAGGGAGAGAAGTGTCTTCTGCAAAAAGCTTCTAAAAGAAACGACCACCACTCACAAAGGATTTTTGGACTGGATGAATCAGAAAAAAGAAGGAGCGTACAGCTTGCGCCCCACGTCTCCTCTCTTTTCCCTGGTGCATAGGACAAAAGAGGGGCGGAAAAATGGATAAAAATTAAATCCAGCGTTTCTGTCTTAAGAGAAACTAAAAAAAACCCTGAGGTCTGCTGCAGAGAGCCGCTGTATTAAAAAATAAAATCTGAGCTGCAACATTTGAATAATGATAGCTAATGATAGCGCTGCTGTGGACTTCCCCTTGGATAGCACAACATACTCTAAAAGGTGCAGCTGCCGTCTCTCGCTTGCGAACGCACGCAGGGGAGAGAACTATGGGGCAGAATACACAGTGTCATCGCTCTCTGTTAGAAGAAGTACTTGCAATTTATCTTCCCCTCTTTAAAATTCCCCTCTTGTAAATACACTGCGTATTGCCCTTTCAGCAGTCTATGGCAGCCCGTTGGTGGAGAAGGCAAGCAGGGGCAGGAGCATGTGCAGTCATACCAAGGGTTTTCACAGGCCGAGGAGACGGCGTTGCGTTTGCTTGGGTATTCCTGTAATGTGACGACGCTAGATGAGATTTCCAGGGCTTTGCACGCTGTGTGCACAGTCATTTATACCACTGAGGGCTGGCGCGAAAGGTGCTCGACTCTGAACGAGCGTTTTTACGCCCACGTTGTGTCAATGGCTGCGCAGAACAGGGCAGCAGGGAACAGCGACCCAGACAGGGCTGCGGGAGCCCGGCTCTCCCCGCGCGCTGCCTGGCCCTTGCGCAGCAACCGCGGTCTTGGTCCCCGCGCAAGGACGGCACGCGGGCTCGGCGCTCGCTGCAGCATCTGCACGCGAGGTCTCGGGAGCTGGGCTGCTGGCCCCAAGGGAATACCTGGCACCCTTGGATCGCCACAGTTGCAGCCGCGTTACGCTGGCTCTCCGCAAGCGCAGCGCTGTCGCTTGCAGTCCCCTCATCGGTCAAGTCCGGACTTTAGGGATACAAGGGCTGATTGCGCCAGTGTAAGAAATCGCTCAAGCTCTCCCCCTGCCAACAGCAGGGTGAGAAGAAGGACAGAGAGAAACCAAGTCTTTCAGCCCACCCCAGTTCTACCTGCTCTCCCCGCTCTTAAAAAAATCCTCTCAAACAAGCAAAGCCAGGCCTGACTCACCAAGTCATACGTCTCTGATGAGTAGCTGGCAGGCCCCATGGTTTCAGGGGCAGGATCTGCCTCTTCTCCAGCAGTTAGAGCAAAAGTTCTTCTTTTTTGGGGTGGAGTTAGTCATTTAAGTGAGTAGGGAGGGACCCAGTATGTAACAATAGAGTATTTGCAAGGCAAATGAGCCCCAAGCATAGAATGACCTAACCGATGTGAAGATTAGCATCTAGCTTTATAAGCTTATTTTTTAGTGCTGTAAGTTGATTTTTGAAGTACGGTTTGAAAAATCCACATTCCTTTGGTCTGTATCAGAGAAGATCCAGAACACCTGTAGGTCTTTCCTGGAAACCTCCAGGGCCCTTGCCCACTGCCGTCCTTGACCCAGGTAGTCCGAAAGGCTTTGGAAAGCTCTGTGCCGATGGACAGCCTTACTAGAAATCTCACTGGATCTGGGCACCTGTGCAGAGCTATGCAGGACTTTGAAGACAGCTGAGTTGAAATGCACGGGTCTGGTCCATGTGGCCACTGCTCTTCACCTCGGGGTCCTCCTGTCTGCTTTAACCTCAGTGACCTGCAGGTGTCTTCTGCTCCTCATCCCGCTGCTTCGCTCCTCGCCTTGGCTCAGGGGAACACGCAGCGGCTTGCACAGGATAGCATGGCCTTGGCAGCCGCTCGGCAGGTCTAGGGAAGGGCGCTCGCTAAGAGGTTGCTCTGCTGTACGACACGCAGTGAATCCCCTTGATGAGACACCTTCCTGCAGTGCTCGTCTTGCCCACCATAAAGACGGGAAATCGAGATTTCCTCTGCTCAGGGAAATGGGCGTCTTGTCCCCGTAATGCCACAGCAGGAGAGTCACAGTGTGAAAGCCCAAGTCTGGGTCAGCAGGACAGGGCAGCATCGCAGCTGGCGTTTTGGCAGAAAGCCTTTCCTCTGTGAGGAGCTGAGGCGGTTCGACAAGCGTGGTGCCCGTCCTCCTCTTGTCTGGGCACAGCTGCACCAAAGCCCCCGTACCAGCACGAAGTCTGGTGGGACTCGGACCAGCGAAGAAGGAGGCGGTGTTATTCTGGCGAGCACCGTTTGATTTCATCCGCTCCTTATGCTTATTAGCAGGAGCCTGGTGATCCTGACTTGACGGGGGGAACCTGCTTGCCCCGAGGATGTCACTGTCGTCCCCCACCCTGAGGACATTCGTGTGCACCTGCACACGTGCACCCGATGCACCAGCCTCAGGGCTCCCCTTCTCCCAAAAGTGAGAAGACGGAGAGTAACAAAGTTGGAGGGAGGACACGGGAGCTTGCACCGTGCCTCACGTCCCTCACCTTGTGGAGGGAGCAATGACTGAGCGAGCCCTGTCCGGCATGGCTTGGCTGTGCCAAGGCCTTGCGCTGCCAGGGCTGTGGGGTGAGGCAAGAAGTGGGGTACTGGGAAACAGAGAGGTTAGGAAGGATGTTTTCACCCAGCTAGAACTGGAGGGTGGAGCACTCGGCATCAGGGACTTCCTTTAAGGGCGAGCAAGGAGGGTGCTGCTCCCTGCGGCAGGGCATGTTCAGGACCGTCTCGGTCTGCAAGACCCCTTGTGACCTTTAGCAAATGCTGCGCCCCCCCCTCCCCAGTCCCCCCAGTCCCAACGACTCCATGAGCAAAGCAGTAGTACTGTGCAAAGTAAGGTACTGCGAGTCCGTAGGTGACAGCCATGCTGCAGAGCCTCTCGGGTCAGAGGGACAGTCTGCAGGATGTGGCTACGGGGAACTGTAGGCTGGAAACACCTCCCAGGCTGTGACCTTGGCTCTCAGAGGCGGCATGGGACTGACAGGGGTTCAGGGAGCCCACTCCAAAGCAATAGACGCAAATGTTTTCACTTGCAAACACGTACTACACCGAGGAAATGACTGCTGCCATACAGACACGACCTACGGGATCCACGTGTTGCTGTAACGTGAAGCGTGGGAAGGATGATAGTGAGAGAGAGAAGAGCATGGGAGAAAAATAAATGGGGAGAGAAGAATTTAGAATGAAAATAATGTCACCTCGCCGGCAGGTAAGGAACTGACTATGGAAGAAAATAATCACAAAATGCAACAGTAAATATTTGAGGAATGTTTTGATGTCTATACACGGGAATTCTTGGCTGAACTCTGATTTTCTGCCAACGGTACATACTCTCACGGGAGAACTGTTCCTGTATTGTCAGGAACATAATATTTTGTAAACTTGTGTAATAGGAAATTATTCAGCTTTACGTAAGGACGATAAAACGCACTAATTGCATACGAACTTGCTCTATTCTGTGTAACTGTGTGACGAACAAACACATCTAGGGACCAGTTTGACGCTACGCTGACTTTCTGAGCTCTGCTTGAGAAAAGCCAGATTGCTTCCAGCTCCTGAATCTTCTCGCCTCTAATCTGTTTGTCTTATTTGCTGTTACCATAACTAAAGCTTTGAGATTTACTAATCTCTTAATTTCTGTTGTCATTTGTTCTTTTAAGGTTAGAGCGTGCTATTTCCTGTACGTGTCGTTGCAAAGTGTGATGCTTAGCCCTGCGAAGAGCTGAGATGAAACGCCGGTCCTCGCACAGCAGGTCCCAGAGAAGGAAGGCTGTGCCCAGCGTGTGCCTCTGGCCGTGGGAGTGGGGGGAGCCGAGGCATCTCCGGCTCTAACTGCTGCACGCTTTGGCCAACAAGCGGCACAACAAGCTGGCACAGCAAGAAGCAGGTGAGATGCAGCTTCTCCGCTCCTCTGGCATGTGAAGGCGCAACACCTGTCTGTTCAGGTTCCTTTTTCTTTCTGCCGTGCTTGGAGCAGAAGCGTTAAAAAGAAAAAGGGACGCATCGGGTGTGAGAGAGGCTTACAAGGGAAGTCTGCACCAGGGCCGACCTCGCTGTCTCAGGGACAGCAGTTTAGGACACTGCCGCAGCCTCACAGCAGGTAGTCTGGGAGCGAACAAAAGAAAGAAATTAAGGACGAGGCTGTGCTCATCTTATTTCCCATGAGAACTGGGCAGGAACATGTGAAATTACTACACTAGAAGGGTCCCCAGGCCTGAGGGAGACGATTGTGCTGCGGCTGG